GGGATTCGAACCCGCGACCCTCAGATTGCGAGTCGAGCGCCTTATTCACTTGGCCATGCCGGGCCCGATGCCAAGTGACCAGCGTAATTTGTTATTGATTCTCTTCATCAACTTCTCATGAGAAAATAACACTACAAGAACTGATTCACTGGCATAGCCACGGAAGTTTTGCCAGCGGGGCAAAAATACAAATACCCCTAACTTAGAAACTTTCTCTTTGTTTAACAGTGTTATGCGTAATTTCCTGTTTATTCTGATTCAGTTTGAACTTCATACCGACGTCATAAGTCTTACAGAAATGTAATAAATCTCTGAACTTTACTAATTTTTACAAGAAAAGGCACCGTTCCTTGGGATCAGGTTATAACGCCAAACACCATTAGGCTTATACCCCGCTCTTTTCCCCCAATGAAAAAAAAGGCTCACCAGATTTGCACACATTGCATGACTCAATCCATTCGAGGTCACAGTGTAGCTACATTAATGGAATGATTTATCTTTAATTTCGGTTCCTGTCTTTAATACATTCAATCTCATGAGTTTCGTGAGATAGCTGTGTTAGAAAGCAGACACGAAATTGTAAGCAGGATCCAACACTTCGAAAACAGGATTTTTACTCGCAAGTTCACTTTGATAAAAAAAAAACAAATACTAATTTAAAATACTAACGCAAAAACAGCATAGTTTTCCATTTCTGATTGAAACGTGGATTGGAAATAGAATTACGTAATATAGAGGTTGAGTACGTTATATTAAAACAAATTTGGAGCCTCACCATGCTGTTACAGTCCATGCGGTCACGTCCAGTCATACTTTATCTGACGGTCGTGCATCTTGATAATAGACCTGCAGCATGGTTTCTATTATAAAAGACTCCGTCGCAAGGCTGTCATATCCCAAGCACAGTACTCCTTCCTGCTAGCTTTCCATATTTTAATTTCCCAACGTCTGGTTTGAACAATTCTGTCCAACAAAGATCCAAAGGCGCTTCGTTTTGGCGACTTGACTGGTACGTCTTCACATTGAATAGCATGAATACTCGTTCCATTCACTAACTACTTGAGGAATGCGACAGCAACTTGTGTACACGTGGCTTGTAACGCCTTTCTAACGGAAATCTTTCTTGATTATGTTTCGTACTGTTGCTTGGGTCACGGACGGCTTTTGCTATTACCTTTTAGTTCGTAGATTCTCACCTATTTCAAAGATGCCACAATTTGCTTACAGCGAATGGAGTACGACCTATTACAGGTCTCTTTCTGGATGGTCCTGGTGTCACAGGTCGATTTACATTCCTTTGTTTTTCAATGTCATTAAGTGAAAATATAGTTCTGATACGTGATGTTCCATCGCCATTTTATATCGTGTTTTGATTATCACGTAACGTGTGATTTGCATATTCATAATCGTTTTAACATAACATAGTTAACCCTCTTTACGTAATCGCAAAGCATTAGAAAATTTAATTATATTATGCTCCTACGTTTTAATGGTCTATTTGCAATGAATTTGGTTAAAGTTTTTGCATTAGTTGCTGCTTTCTCGCACGTATTTTTATATATCTCAGGACATTAAAGATGCCTGTTTGTATGAATATTATTATTTTGTAAGTTCACGTAGGTTTCATTATTTGTTCAATACAGTTCACTGATAATTCTTTCTACACTCTACAATAATATACGTTATTTTATTTTAAATAGGGTGTTCTGATAAGTTGTTTTATTTGTTGAAATATGTTTTTATTCTATTGATGTATATTAAGTGGTCCACAAACGTAGTACGGTTCCATGAACAAAGTTTATCAATAAGAAATATTCATATAATCACATTAAAATTATACATAAAGTAATGTGAATAATGTTTAATATAGAACATCTTTAGAATACTCTAGAAAATACAAGAAAACAATGAAACGTTTGTTGACAATTACAGCTTCACGGCACTACTTTCCACACATCCAGTTAAAACAACGTCATTGCTCAATACATACGACCACCATGCAGGAAGTCTCTCAATAAACAAACGTCCATTACTGGACACTTAGTATAATCGGGTTTCCCCGTGAAACTTGTTTGCTGGCTATTTCTGTGTGTTTCATAAAAACTGTTTGACTCGATTTCTCAAATCATAAATACGTAAAACTGTAATAGGGAAAAAGTTGTCTCAAAACTCCAAGGAAAACCAAAGTATTTTTTCCCAGGAGAAATTAGATAGAAAGAAGTGGATGTAAAATGTTACCTGAATTAATAGTTCCAAAGTGCATTCGCTTGGTTTCATTCAGGATGAATTCTTCATCTTCGAAGCTGTTGAATTCTTCTCCTCTCACCCTCAGGAATAGGGTGAGCAACAGGAGTACAGCCCTACAGGAAAAAAAAAACAACAAACAAACAAAGTTGTTAGTTTAATCGCAGTTTAAGTATTGATGTTATGTTTAATGTGTTCATTCCCTGCCTAACTTGAATCACTATCAAACCAAACCCACTCTTGATCTGCTATATACTTTTTATGGTATTTCTAGAAATTGTGAACAAAAAAGTTTTCTATATTTTTATTAAGTTATTATGCTTGCTCAATTATAATGATTCATGAGTGAAAGCAATGGAGAATGTGTTGTGATATGTCGCCCACACTACATTAGCCATATTCCTGTCCAATTAGGCCTTTCCCGAATACCAGGGCAATGACGTAGCAAGTGTCTAAAAGACCCTGAATGGGAAAAGATGTTTCTGGGTCCAGCCCCCCCCACTTACTGCCCTTCTCCCTTAATCGCATTTATATTTATTTTTCTCTCTTTCCTTTATTTTGTAGCCCTTACTCTGTCGCCACAATCTAACATTTTTTTTCACAATAAATGACACGAGTATTTGAAAATGATTTCATTTCAATAACGGACACTTCTCGAAAACAAAGACAAATTAGGGTTGGCCGATTAGAGGCAAAACAGTATTGATTTGTCCTAGTTCGAAGTATCGTTGAGGTAATTCCTCAATTCAAACACAACATTACAAAAACTTCTGTTTAAAATTCGTAGCGCGAGTATATTGGTGATGAAAGATAATAATAACTCGGTAGGATGTTTGGATTTATGTACAGTATTGAACAAGCTTTCAATTTCTCTCTTCAAAACCGACTTGTCACCATAAATATATGAGATTACTGGTAAATGTTAATATAACTGTTTCTCAGTTGTAATTCTGTATAATACTGTCCATGATCTCACTATTAATTTAATGACAGTTTAAATATTATTAACTAGAGTATTTATTTTTAAACTTTATCTTCCGCTTCTGATCAAAGCAGGCTATTTATATAATATAATCTCTGATCTACAGGGTATCAGAAAAATCAGGAACCATAGGCGATTTGTAGCTTTTCTTAATTTCAGATACGTGACTGATTATGGCGCCGTCAAAGCATGAGAAGGTCGAGTTAATCCTGCTGTTAATCCAGACTTGTTTCGAATTACAAGGACAGCATGTGGAACACATTCTGTAAAATTCGTTGAAGTACATCAGAGATTATATTAACCCAATAATTAATAAACCGGTCTAACTATAAATATGCAACATTATAAAACAAAAGTAATAAAACTGTATTGATTCATCACTTGGATATTGCCCCCGCTATTGCCCCCCCCCCCACGTAGCACATCGGTATGTCTGCGGACTTACAACGCTAGAAACCGGGTTTCGATACCCGTGGTGGGCAGAGAACAGATAGCCCATTGTGTAGCTTTGTGCTTAATTCCAAACAAACAAATCCTCGCTATTATCGATATGTTTGGCCGTAATTCAATAATATCTCACTAGGTTTGGCTAGTTTAGAACAATTATATAACATTTTAACCAATAATGTTAACAAAACCATCTTTAAAATTAAATAAAAGACGACTGCAAGAGAAAAAGTTGAAAATTCGCTCAATGTATTTAACTCAATGCCAGCTTCAAGCCCACCCCCCAGTGGCACAGCGGCATGTCTGCGGACTTACACGCTAGAATCCGGGTTTCGATACTCGTGGTGAGCAGAGTACAGATAGCCCATTGTGTAGCTTTATGCTTAATTACAAACAAACAAAAGCCAGATTTAATTATTATTATCATCGTTGTATGATTTTTAATGAACCTTTTTGAGCCCCGTTGGTCTGGCCCTGGAGCAATTGCTCCACCCAAACTATTCCCAGTAATTGATATAGCTAATTTGATATACCGGTCTAACCAGGAGCATGCAGTGATAAAAAACGTAAATAGGTTGGATTGATTACTAGGTCGGTACATTTGCTGTTTTCGAACATAATCCCTATAATATATGCTGTTATTTATTTACGTTTTATCAACTTTTCGTAAAAGTATGAGATTTTGATTGAGTAAGACTTAATTAACGATAACTCAATGAGGAAAAAAATGAAAATCATTCAGGCAGTCAGGTCTTAGCTAAAAATATTTTTTTTGTGATATTGATATATATGTGTATAATATCTTTAAAATATTACCAATACCATTACTTTTCAAAGTTTAATACTTTCCCTAAGCTTAAACAATATTATTCTTTAACTACATAACAAACATTTGAAGAGCCCCCCCAAGTGGCCCAGCGGTATAACTACTGAATTACAACGCTAGAAACCGGGTTTCGATACTCGTGGTGGGCAGAGCACAGATAGCCCGTTGTGTAGGTTTGTGCTTAACTTCGAAAAACAAAAACATCTGAAGAACAGACAATGTGCCTAATGTGATCTATCTTTGAAAATAAAATCAGCTTGGGAGATGTGTTAATATTAAAGATCGATCAGATCGATTAATCTAATCGATCTATTTTATAAACCCATTTGTCGTTCAAGTCAACTCTCCCGTCTCTTAATGGCCTGGAACCCCCCTTTTTTAGTAGTTTTTAAAACTATTTAAGGTCCACGTAACCACGTTTATGTGGTAATTTTTTTTTTGCTTAAGTATGAGCTAGTAACCAGTGAAGTAACGCCTATAGAGAATAAATATATATTTGGACATTAAAGTTTTATATGGTGGATTAAGTCTCGAAAGAACTAAAAGATCTTCCGGTAGTTCCGACTTTCCTTGCTGATTCCAGAACAGAACTTCTTTGATTAAGACGCAACGATAATAGAATCGCTTAATGACATTCTTCTTTCCTCTGGTATCTTATAAATAATTCTTTTAACGAACACTGATAAATATATATATATATACTTATAACTGCGCGTAGTTCTCAACTGCGCGTAGTTCTCAGTCACTGAAAAATATATCAGGTTACCGAAACGTAAGGCTATGAATTTTTTACTGTGAGCGTTGTTACAAGCGATTATTCTGTGACTGGAACGTTTGAGAAAGAACAAGAAGAAGGCATTGGTTGAACGGAGTGCACGTAAAACCGTGAATAGCGGACATGGAAAAACCCGAACCTGAAATATAGCCGGAACTGAAGAACGAACTCTGTGTAATACAATATTTACTGAATACAAAATTAGACTGTGTATTATACTAACCAATGACGTAACGAACCAGCCCCTACAATGTGAGAGGTAGTAAACGTAACCTATCTTAAAGATGAATATCCGTTAAAAACAAGCCACAAGATGTGGTTTAATAAAAACAATGAACCAGCCCCTATAATGTGAGAGGTAGTAAAGGTGACATATCTTGAAGATGAATATCCGTTAAAAACAAGCTACAACATGTGGTTTAATAAACACAATGAACCAGCCCCTACAATGTGAGAGGTAGTAAACGTAACCTATCTTAAAGATGAATATCCGTTAAAAACAAGCCACAACATGTGGTTTAATAAAAATAATGAGCCAGCCCGTATAATGTGAGAGGTAGTAAAGGTGACATATCTTGAAGATGAATATCCGTTAAAAACAAGCCACAACATGTGGTTTAATAAACACAATGAACCAGCCCCTACAATGTGAGAGGTAGTAAAGGTGACATTTCTTGAAAATGAATATCCGTTAAAAACAAGCCACAACATGTGGTTTAATAAAAATAATGAACCAGCCCCTACAATGTGAGAGGTAGTAAACGTAACCTATCTTAAAGCTGAATATCCGTTAAAAACAAGCCATAACATGTTATGTTTGTTATATATGGCAAAGACCGGTTTAGATCTTTCAAAGTGATGTTTCCTGAAACATCAAACTGACTATATAACGTAATTGCAAGGCTATTTCCAACTAGGATTATCTTTATTCTCATTCTGCAGTACATTCATTGTTCCAAGACTAACATTCAAAATATTCACTAGTTAACATTCGATGTTTCCTTGCAATTTTGAACCTTTTACATTAAGTTAGGTGTTGCTCACTTGGAGTGTCTTCGATACAAGAATATTTAAAATATTTGTTTGTAGTTACTAATATAATTTCTACAAAAGTTTGATATTGAAGGGTTAATAGATTTGTATAAACATTTTTACTCAACATGGGCTAAATTTTCAGATCAGTGACTCCTAAAGTCCAGGCATAGCCATCTGTAATTTAGAGCTGTTGACCAGAGAAAAGGTTTCAACGAATATGGTTGTTCGAACATTATACTTTCTGTTACGCAGCCCAGCACGCTAACTCACATGTCATGTCGGGAACACGACATGTAGGATAATGTAAAAATGTGAGGAAGGGTGGGGGGGGGGGGGGTGTTTCTGCTAATATTAATTTTCTTTCTGCCTTGAGCAAAATGCCCTATTAACATTTATATAGTTATTTTATTTATACATCTGGAATTATATAAGCTTAAAAACAACACTGTCAGAATCACCTGCTTAGACAAGCTGAAAATATCTGTGTTTGTTTGGTTGTTTTTAATTATGCACAAAGCTACACAAGGGCTATCTGTGTCTGCCCACCACGGGTATCGAAACCCGGTTTCTAGCGTTGTACGTAAGCAGACATTCCGCTGTGCCACTGGAGGTGGAAATATCTGTGAATGCTCAAAACGAATCTAGTTACTGAACAACTGTTAAAATAATCATATATCTGGATTGAATATAAACAAAAACTGAAAACTTGGCTTCACCGTTAACATAGACGTTCATAATATAACTAATATTATCGGCATTCTAACCTAAACTAAGTTATTATATTAGATCTTAGATTTTATATCTTTTTTCCCTGATCTTAATACTTAATTAATAATTATTAATACTGTCCATGTACTATAAAGACATAGTACGTCTGACTGAACGCTTTCCCTAATATTAATACTTTCTGATCAGTCAAATAATCTTTCTTATTATTACAGGCTACATATTACAAAAATGTGGTACGTTTCATCGATCGCCTTCCCTGATCTAAATGTTTTAAATAGTTCAGTCGCTTAAAGCTCTTACCAAATTTCTTTATTTTGCCCAA